CCCCAAAACCCCAAAACCCCAAAACCCCAAAACCCCTTATCTAATCTTCATAACTGAAAATTAAATTAAAGGTGTAATAAATAGAGAGTTTTTGCTATGACTTTTGAACACTGCATGATTTGAGAGTACTTCTGTTATTGTATGAGCTTTGTCTAAAGTTTCAAAATTTTAGGACATCGAGCAATCTACCAGGATTATTCTTGTTTGCTGTATCGATAAGTAGGTTGGAGGAAGTTTGGCATCCTACGCCTGGTGCTTGTGTTAGAGCAAAAACCATCAAAGTGGAGGATGAACCAAGCTAACCTAGAAAACTACCAAATCCCCAAAATCGTTCTCCAGGCCACCATACAGCTCAACCGAGGAAGGAGCCTCAAGAACTCCTTATCTCTCCTGTCTGGGAATTGATTCAGTGGTTCAAGTATATCATCCTACATTTATCTCTCAATTATTCTATTTGTATCTATTGTACTTCTCTTGGATATAAGGATCATTGAACTGGCAAAGAGTTTTTAGAAGATATGAGTTGTAAACAGAGGATGTACTAAGAATAGAGTCCTTATTCTTCGACACTTTATTTGAGTTCTTTCTCTGTTACAGAAATACCTTTCGCTATTTTCTTCATAATTTCTCTATTTTTCAAGAGCTAAACGGCTATTCTTTTGTTGTGAGTTGACTGGATTTCCAGATTTTATGAATTTATCAACCTCATTAAGATACCAAGTTTGCCTTTTGGAAAATTCTGAAGGATCTGTCTGTTTGAACCAATTTTTCATTGCAGGCCTATTTTGGTTAAATTTAATACCACACCTAGTAGCCATTTTTGATTTAGGTTTTCCTCGATTTGTATCTTCTTCAATAATGCCATTCAATTTCTTAGCAATAGTGATATTTTTCTTACTCGGCTAGAAGATAAATCCCTTCTCTTACACTTAGATGAATTCCTTCAGCTCCAGCGCTAGGGTTTGAAATTAGTGGGAAATTTCCATCTTAAATAGATTTGTAACCTCATTTATCATCTTGGTTAAGCATTGTTTTCCTATCTTTCTCAAAAGAGTTATTCGCAATGAGATTTCTCCTAAATTTGGTTAAATATATCAGGATTACTTCTCGATGGAAGCAAGGACTCCCCTCTTCTTGTTATTCATGCTATTCAAGGGATTGTGGTTAATCGATTTGTTGAAGCTCTTAGATAACTCACTAGACCTTCTTTTGCCTCGAAGATCCTTATAGTTTATACTATCAAAGCCTTTTATGAATTTCATTTTAGGCTTTGCTCTTCAGTAACTAAGATTTTTCAGATAGAGAGGGTTTAGTTTCTTTCTAAGCTCTTCAGGAGGGCTTTCAATATCACTTTGTGATACACTAAACTCTGCTGAAATCTTTTGGTCCTCATCTTTAGTTTCATCTATCGGCATAGTTTCATCTACACTTTTATTCCGGCTTCCGATAGCTTGGTTTACCTAAGAATGAGTGGAGGAATAGTATTACTTTATAACTAAGGGTATTTCTTGAATAGTCATCTTCTTTATCAAAGTATTCTATAAGCTCTTTTAGCTCTTTTTCTTCCTCCTTTTGAATAGAGGTTATGAGCCCTTCACATTTAAGAGATGGGTCCTGCTGGTCAGGTTGAGCCTATAGTAGAGTTAAATTATCAAATTATACAGCCAAAGCGTTTGAAACATCTGTATTTTAACGCCTTGAATTATCAGTAATATAGAAATAACAAGAGTTAGTAGGATTTATGTATTTCCTTACCTTCATCAGTCCTATTTTTCTACAAATATAGTGTTCATATTGCATAATTCTTCTCATCTGGTCTTGCCGAGACTCTGTTGGGGATGATCTATCAATAGTGTGAAGATTGATACTGGCCCCTTTAGCCCTTTTCCTGTAGAGATATTTTAGCCTCTTTGTTCTCTTCCTCATTGCAGCTAATTTCTCCTTATCAAGCTTCCTTCTATTCTTTTTAATTTTGCTGTTTTCCATGTTTAGCAAAAGCCCTTTGGAAAGTTGTGTAGAATGGCTTGATTTATTTGTAATTTAGAAGCGATTGAGGCTTCAATGACTCCTTTATTTTCAGAGACTTCTTATAGATAGAATTGAAATCGGTGACCTTCATATTGTTAAGAAGTTCATTCAAAAGGTGCTCATCCCTTCGTTGCTCTTCATTTCCCAGAGGTTTATTTTAAGATATCCCGATTGCTTTTCTTCTTTTTATCTCCCAAAAGAATTAGTCTGAGTTCATTATTTATAGTTTGTTGTCTCTCAAACTGCTTATTAGAGTCTGTTGGGTTATTATCATCATATTGAGACTCATTTTGAGCCTTGTAGCTCTCTATAAAATAATCTCCACCTCGACTCAAATTTGTACGAATCAAAATCTACAAGTACTTACCTTGCTCTTTTATCTGAATATTATTTATGATACTAAAGATGCTGCCATAATAGCCTCGATCTCCTCCCTTGGTGGAGGTCTTCTTTAATCTCGTTTTATTAGACTGTCCCTCTATAAGGCGCTCAGGTTTATTATTTTGATAAAGATAATGACTTGGGTTACCTGAAGTGGTATTTTGAGTTAAGAAAGACTTCATTTTATTTTATTTGTATTTTCTCGAATACAATTATGCATAAATATTTAGGGGTTTTGGGGTTTTGGGGTTTTGGGGTTTTGGGG